CCCCCGCCGAGGTGTTACTTCAAGGAACAATGACAAGGAAAATTGATAAATAGGAATCAACAAAGCGGAATAAGTAAATGTGTAGGCTCCTGTTCAAAGGTGTAAGGCTCATTAATGGTGTTGTTGTGCACTATATTTACACAACAGCTCCACACTTGTTTTTTCTTCCTCCTCCCTTTCCTTCTACTGACAAACTGTTTAATGACAAAACAAGCAAAAGCATTTAATCACATAAACAAAGAGACACCTGTTTTTTGAGTAATGATGATTTATGTCTCCGGCTTTTGAAGGCACTTCTCAAAGTTGACGATGAGATTGAAGCTTCAGAAGCGCATCTATTATGGAAATGTCCTCTTCGGGAGCACTGTGGGCAGCACGTTATTAGTATCTAGGATGAATATATGCAAGCACATGTGCAAGGGCCCGCATCACCGCTATATGCTTAGCATCCAATTTTGTATTCAATTAAGGGTGGGGGGTTGTAATAACGTCATACGTGGCATGCGTGAGGACAATTTACATATTCATCCTCCTCGAGGCTCATATTCTCCTTCTGTCCTTCATACTCTTATTTATTAATATAGTTTTAAAGCATCTGCATCCTCTTATATCTGATGCTGATGCAAGTTTGGGTTGCAGTAGGTGCCGGTGCTAGTACATGTTTATTTAATGCATGAAAGCAGTTTCTATACTGGTGGATATCTGCTGACAGTAATTGATTGTTTTGCAGACCGACCTTAATGACCAGGGATATTGCATAGTGTGATTTTGCTTTTTAGCATTTCTGTTTTTTTGCATGCATAATTCTGCACCTCTCATTGATTGAAAGACAAAGCTGTTTGTGAGCAGCTTTTTTTGTTTTCGTCTGCTCTTTTGCATTGTTGTGGTATTTTTTTTTTTTTTTTTTTTTTTTTTTTTTGCATACATGCACTTTTTGGGCGTTCATATATGTGTCTCGGCTCCAGGATGGCATGTAAGTGTACAGTATACGGGGAGCACGCATGCTCCTGATACCAAATGTGCCTGTGTTTGTGGTTCGAGTGCTTGTTGAAGCGTGTTTGTCTCATTGAAAAATGTACTCTGAAGTAAATATTTCTCATCTGGGGACAAACATACATCAGTCAGCCGTGCAGCAGATTATATATGATGGTGGAGGAAGCTTTTTTTTTTCCTCCACCCCCCTATCACCGCACTCATCCCTTTGTTTTCCTGCATTTTTCACTCTCGATGTAAATGCCGTCACGGGCATATAGATAGCATTTCTAACTCGACCTGATCAGCGCTTCTCTTCCCAGAACCATTATGTACATACGTTACGTTTAGAGCGATCACTGAATAAAGACACTCACTTGTTTAAGAGAGTCCGGAAACCCACTCATACAAACCCAGGCACTCGGACGGAAAACATCAACCAACAAAGCGGTCGAGACACATTTGATCTTAGCTTTGCTGTTAATAGCCAAACAAGAAATTGCATAATATTATGGATTGTAATTTTAATTGAATTAATTTCAGAGGACATCGTAAGGCACTGATGGTGTCATAAAACACTTGTTATAGCTGCTGTTTATCACACTGATGTAAATTATGCCCAGTGATTGCTCAATGATGCTTTACTTCAGGGACATGATGTTGGGAGAAAAAAAATGTAATTGGCTCCAAAGGGCATATGATGTGTTGGTGCTGTGAGGGAGAAACACAAAAGAGGGTTATTTCCTCTCCAGCTACGTTTTTCTTTTCCCTTTTTTTGTTTTGTTTTGTTTTGTTTTTTTCGCCGGCTGACATCGCCGTACTGTGTCGCTTTCTGCTTTTCATGTAGATGGAAGCAAAATTTAAAAAGCGGAGCACATCTACAGTATGTTGGATTTTGTTTAGAAAAGAGACGTGAGCTTTCTGTGTATACGAGGGGGAAAAGAAGCCTGCTCCTGCAAAGTAAATGACACTAGAGTAGAAATCATTACGAAGTATTGAAGATTGTAACGGTCTTGTGTTACCATCAAAGCTGCAAAATCTAATCCTGTGTGATAATATAAAACAAGCATATATAGTTGCAGTCGTTACAGGAATATAATTGTTGTTATTATCATTTCATTTTTTAGATTTTAACATTTATATATTATAAGTGTTTTTTTCTGACGGCATCATAACAACTTTATCATCTTATCAGCCCCTGACTTGGGAGTTGATGTGGTCAGCAGGACAGATGAGTCATGGGGTCTGTGTGAAGCAAGAAATCTGCCCTGGACATCATGGCTCAGCACACTGACAGCTGGTGCACCCTTGTTGTTGTGTGTGTGCATTTGAGGTTGTGTGTTCTGAATTGTCTCTCAAGAGAAAAGCAGCTGCAGACAAATATCAGGGCAAAACTTGGCGTGTTTCTTTTAAAAAAACGACAAGAATTTTAAAAAAGAAGAAGAAGAAAGAATCCTGGTTTCTTTACAGGAAAATCTGCAGGAGTCCAAACAGTGGCCTGGCCCCAGGAACTCATTCACCATATTGTAGCAATTAAAACAGTGTCATGGCTGTATGATCAACAAGGGAGACGTTTAGCGTCCGCTGTTTGTTGTTTGCGCGCGTACAGAATAATCTGGCAATGGGCTCGGATGCATTTCACAATTAACAGCGGCCCGAGCCAATCACACTCAGCGGAATATAATGCAGGGCTGTACGTCTTGATTTGTGCACTGACCCGCAAGAAGTCAGTTAAGTGGCTGATACTCCCTATGTGTGCGAGCGAGCAAGCGCGTGTGCACGTTGACTTTGAAGTATGTTGTGTCGTGACAATAATCTAAGCCAATTTAGTACGCATCAGCCCTCCATTATGGGTTTGACATAAAGCGGTGCGTGACTTGAATTCTCTTCCGTAAAATGACAATTTGCTTCTCAAAAGAAATTACGTGTTTAACCTCATTAACCTAAAGCACATGCACTAAAACGGAAGGCTAACCGCCCTCCCTTGCACCCCTTGTGACACACTCAAAAACACAAATTGGCAACATCATCAAAAGTTGAGAGTTCGCTCTGAATGTGACCCCTTGCAAATGGGAAGTCGGTGGCGAGTTAACATCGGTAGTTCGTCGAGTCATTTCACAACTTGTCAGCCTTCTCGGGTGGCTTGGGTTTCACTCTGTTTCAACATCATCTGTCCTCTATGAGATGATTAACCTGGCAGGTGCGAGGTGAGTCTCGCCTACTGTTTTAGTGAGCTGTCGTCCTCAGTCTGCAGGGAGTACAGGGGGGTCAGCCCAACCGGCTAATGGCTGTAGTCACAAAGCTGGAATCAGGCCCACTTGAAGAACTGGCCATCATTAGGAACAACACATTTTCAAACAGCCTGACCTGCCGGGCCCACGCTGTTTATTAGCAAAGTTTTTGGCTCTCCTTTAAAGCAATTATATTCTCCATCCAAGATGAACTGTGGCCTAAACATACACTCGCATGCGCAGTCAGTAATGTCAGGCGCTCGAATAGAAAGCTGTCTTTTTTTTTTTCCTCTGCAAATGCATGCAATAGGAAAATGTGTTCGGAAAATGAGGAAAACGGGGAAAATGGCAACGTGTCAGCAAGTGATGTATGTCGTTCATTGGACACAGAACATTTAGTTTTCATTAAGAGTTAAACATGTACACGCAACATTAATGGGGTTCAGTGACAGCAGCAGCGCCGCGCCTCACTGTATCTCATCCTGATAAATTAGCAACTCAGCACACAGGGGTACAAGGGAAAGAAAGGGAGAAGAAAGAGAGACAATAATATAATGTGTAGTGGGGGAGGAACTGACAGATAATGTCTTCATCTGAAGATTGGTATTTATGATGCAATGTAATATTATCCCTGACCCGGGCATCGGCAAGCTGTAAGGATGAACAAAGGCCGGACGAGGGAGGACGACAGGAGTGGGGGGGGGGGAGAGAGGTCAGCACGAGTGCTGGCGTTTTCATTGTGTGAGATGTGGACTGCCGTCCTCTCCCTCCGCACGGGGAGTGATGGAGAAGGTTGTTAATTCCTGGTTTGTCAGCCATATTGGATTCAGGGCAGTAAATTAATATCGCACTCCTTTTAGAGGGGTTTTATTTTGGGATTTACCGGTCTCCCTTGAGTGTCGGTGATGTAAAGAGGTTATTTCCCTCTTTCTACTCCGTTCTGTGTCCTCTCGCTATCTCTCGCGCAAGGCTAATATGTTTAGAGAGAGCGAGAAAGTGTGTTCATGGAGGAAGGATGTGTGTGCTGCAGGCTCTTTTGTGTCACTCAGCATTTGGATAGCACATTTTTCAGCGAGAAGTCTGCCGTAAATTGTGGCATCATCCGAGCAAGGACAGCTCCCTATCTCCAAGGTGTTTCTCTCCCCCTCCCGCCTCCTTCCTTTACATGTCATTTATATGTCATGTGAGATTTTAAAGGAATAAAAAGACATCTACTGGATATAGGAAGTGATTTTAAGTTAACAGGCTGTTTAGCTGTCAGTCATCAACCTTCCCTGCCTCGGGCCCTGTCGTGTTTAATGTGGGTAGAGTTAGAGTCCCGGATGAAGAACCATATAACACAGTGTGAAGTGGCCTAGTCGTTGAGATGGGGATTTATGGCTGCTGGTCCATCAGTGGTGATGTTAAAGGGCTGTGATTAAGAGCTGGAGTAAAGACATGGACTTTGCTATCCCAGCGACCCAGCCAAGAGTACGCGAGGCTGATCTCCATCACTGCCAACTCTGCTCCACGCAGCTCCGTCTCACTTTTTTTTGCTCTTTGTCCATCTGTCTCTCTCTGTCTTCTTCTGCCTTGCTCGTGTGCATATGTATGAACTCAAATTCACCAAGGACTCCCAATCCCTGCATTAGATATTTTCTTGCGTTTTCGCTCACCAGTCAAGCAGTCACAACAACGAAGTACGACAAGGTTCAGCTCCTGCTTTCATGACAACTTGAAATACTTAGAAAGCTTTTCTTTTTCACTTTTATTTGACATCTCTGAATATCTTTTTCCTCCTCCTCTTTATCCTCCAAGGTTCTGAGCACGCTGCCACGGCGACGCTTCCCGCCGCCTTCTCGGACCTGTTACCTCACTTCCTGGTAGAGCCGGAGGACGAGTACATCGTAAAGAACAAGCCGGTGACTCTGACCTGCCGCTCCACCCCGGCCACGCAGATCTACTTCAAGTGCAACGGCGAGTGGGTTCACCAAGATGACCACTTGATTGAACGGACTGTTGACCCAGCAACAGGTACACCAGACGCAAAATCTGTGAACCACATAGATAACCAATTTTCACTGAATTATGCCTCTATTTGGACTCCTTCTGTGCAGTGTTTCAACCCAGATATGAGCCAGTTTTCTTTTCTTTTTTTTTCTTTTTTTTGCATTTTGTCTGCTACAGATGTATGACATGTGCAACTTCATAGAATCATTATGTAAAGTGTTTGTGTGCTGAAACCTGGATTTGCAATTTGCCAGTGATTACTGTGCTCCATCGGGCTCTTGGCTCATCCTCCAGCCTATTTAGCCTGCCAGTCTCATAATAAGCACATTGGTTTCAGTCTCAGAAATCTTCTCGATCACCTTGGAGACCTGTTTGTTTTTCTCTCCGTTGTGCTGCAGTCCCCCGCCTCCACCATCAGTGTCATAAACATGTATGACACTGATGTGGTGTGATTCAGCAGCGATCTGCAAAATTCAAACCACTCATTTACAGCCTGACAACTGATTGGGAATGAGAAACGTGGCCGTGACAGGTTTTTCGGGGGTACACGTGCACACATGCACTTGTGGCTGGCTGTACATAGCAAAGCCATGTTTGAAAAGCGGATGAAGTGCAACAACTGAGAGATGCGTGAAAAGATAGGCACATCAGTCGGCTTCCTCACACAGACACAAAGGGAATTCAGGAAACTCTGAAGAGAAATTTAATCAGAAATATATTAATTCATATGCAAACACTGCCGCTTTGTTTTAAGATGAAGAGCTCACAGTTTTAACATTTTATCCATCTGGGCTACAGGGTTCGGAATTAACATTCAGCACCTCGGCAAATGTAGGCACAAAAAAAGGCATGCTCATCTAACTTTAACTGTCTAGATATCAATTCAGCCTGAAACTTCGGTAGGTGAGGACGTCTGATCTAGTCTCCAAAATTTTCCCACAACGAGGCTTTGATTGGTGTACGTGCAGGCTTGTCCCTTCCCGTTCTGCTCTTTTCTTTTTTTCTTAATAAAACAAATCTCCTGTTTTTGTTTTCTAATGAGCATCTTTGAGAAATGTTTGGTGATTTTAAACTTCAAATTCTCCCAGGTACACAGCTTGTTTATAGCTCTTCCTGTCGTGTCTCACAACCTCGCTGTCACTCACACGCCGTCTGTGGATGGCGGGCTGTTTTGGCTTCTTCTGTTTTTTTCTTTTTGGCATCAGGGTCTTTAAATAATGGCAACAAAACAAAAAGTATGAAAAGTTGATTGTAGTTCTTTGCTGAAAATGGGAGGGGGAAAACATGAGCACACAAGGGAGCGCTTGTGTGATTTGCATCATTAGGAAGAAATTCTCAGCGAGTCAACAGTGATAAAATTTGATTTCCCTTCTTGTGTTAACAGCTCTGCTCTCACAGTTTGGTACAGTTGTTAATCGGAGTGATACGAATGGAAGTGCTTTTTTTGGTTTGTCAAATAAATGGTCAACATCTACTAGCCACGGGTGAATGCAAACACTTAGCAAGCCGTGACGTGCAGCGGTTTTACTGCTATTCTGTAAACAAACTTCATAATGTCGCAGCCAATAACTGTCCAATAATCTCCTTTTAAAAACATTATTATTGAAAATCAAAATATCAGAGAAACCTGGCTGCAGATTTCTCTCACGTGTGCACTGGTTTCTTTGCAGCTCCTTACCGGCACACGTGCTCGTGACAAAAGAAAGTAGAAAACGGAAAAGTGTGGCAGCAGTGCAGCTGGCAGAAGAAGAGATAATTAATTAGAATAATTACACGAAAATTGCGACTGAAATTGAAATTAACACGAGCGCTCTAGAAACTTTTAAAGTGGCCTCTAGCTTTTGATCACTTTGAAATTCTGGCTTGTTCAAGCCGTTAACACAAGTGTTACACTCTCTGGTTATCACGTCTTTTGTCGCTATCCTTCCATTCATCCGTCCACCCCACTAAATGCTTTTCGAGTGAGGTTGGCGTGGGGCTGGAGTTGAGCCCAGCTGGACAAACAGCCCTATGCGCTCAGACAATCGGCCAATTACAAATCATCAGTTAATTTAACCTTTTGTAAAGCCACTGGGCCAGCGTCTTTAAACAACATAGTCAAAATAAGTATTCATGTAAGCAATGTTCCTGGTTACCTGTATAACCTTGGGTTTCTCTGTTTAATTTATGGTCTGTCCACACTGCATTTCAGACCGTCTGAAACCCCCGCCTGCCAGCCCTCTCAGACGTCTGATAGTGATATCTCTTTAGCTTATTTTAACTCAGTGTCTGGCTGGATGGGTTGTCAGAAAATGTGTTATCACTGTTTTTACACAATATTTGCTCCTGTTTCTCCCTTCCAATTTATAATGGCTGTTCTCCCCCCCCCGGTCCACTTTTATAAGAGCTAGAAAAACACACTTGATCTCAGATCCGTTTTGAACAGTGCATCTTAAGTTGAGAGTGACCTGTTTATTTAAATAGACACGCTGACTGGATGATGTACAGTCGCTGATATGCAGCGAGCACCGGGTGACGTTGTGGAGGCTGCTCCTTAACTTCGATCTGTGGGATATGAATAGTTTTGTCAATAGCTAAAAAGAACATGACGTGCCCCATAAACTGCTGACTTTATGGGGAACAACATTACTAATGCGATGTTGCTCTGCCAACGTTTAATGATGATGGACCATTTGCCATGTCGTTATGAGCCGTTATAGTTGGCATTTATTTGTCTATGAAACAAATCCGTCGTGCTGGGTGCCACAGACCCCCCGCAGCAAGCGAGGGTCTCGGTCTTTAGAAACCCTGTGAAGTTCCAAGGCTTCCTTGCAGCTCCGAATATCAGTCTGCAGTCCCGCTGCCTTTGATGAGGGATGTTTCATATGTGGAGCTGTGCAGTTATGAAGGACGCGTGGTTGTCCAGAGGTAAGGCTGCTCCAAGGTACCTGCATCGATCTCTCAAACACTTGTGCTGTTTAATGTCAGCACTGCCCCGAGGAGTTTACTGATGGCTCCGTCTAATCCCACTTCTTGCAAGAAATGTGTAAGGTGCACACATCAAACAGTGGTAAAGCGTGCGTGCATGTGTGTGTGTGTGTGTGTGTATGTAGCACAGGCTTGTCAGGTTGTTCTTACCCTGGATGTCACACTCACACCGGACTCTAAACTCCTACCTGTTGCCAAGCAACCAGGACTTCTGTCACACCAGAAGCTGCCCGATATCAACATCCTGCCTTAAGGTGGGAGGAATGAGGAGTTTGGACTTGTATCGAACTTGAAAAAAATTGATTGACAATTTATACCTGGTGGAGCAGTGGGAAAAATCACCTTGTCAAAATAACACATTTCTACTAGAGAAATTTTGAACATTTTTCTGCGTGATTGCAGTTTCTCCTGCCCGTGTTTTGCACCCAGTGCTTTTGCTATTAAGAAGGCCAGAGATGTAAATGGTCACATGATCAGCCAAAAGCTGTCGGAAAGCTCCTGAGTTATCAGCCTCGGTTTAAGCTGATTAGCATTCTTGTCAAGGGTCCTCCTTTCTTTTCTTATGCAAATGAAAAGGATGCTCTTAATTGCAACAATAAATTAATAGAAATTGCACACAAACACATCAAAATCAAGAGTCACTGTCGGAGATGTTGTGCAGATTTATTGCTTATTGTCCTCTATTCAGACGGGATTTTTCTTCCAGTCTTTGATGGATAAGTGGCTGTTCAACAATGAGGCACACATGCAGTTTGAAGTTTTGATTGTGAAAGAAGCAGCAGGCCCGCTGTCGTGGTCTGCACTGTCCGTCGATTTTTCTCCATTCTTTTCTCATGTTTTCGTGCCTCCCTTGTATACTTTGACAGCATGCACAGTGTTGACCACCGATTTGGACTCTTTGATGTATTTATTTTGTTAGCATCAGTGTTGTGTCCTGGTTGCACACGTGTGCACCTGTGTACACGCTCAAAAAGCATGCAGGCTTCTAAGGGTCTCCTCTGCAAACATTTCATATCATTTTATATCATGAGCTGTAATTGAACATTTTAATCAGCTGCCTCTCCTGCGAGTCCTCTTGGACTGCAGCTGGTAGAAGCTGGTTGCTGTGCTGTGCAGGCTCGGTGAGATCTGAGTAGTTTATGTGAAGCAGTTCTTTACCTGCTGGAGATTCTGGTCATAAAGGGAACAGATGCTCAAGCGGCTGAAAATAAGAGTGAGGAGATCGTCCGCTGATGTCAGTTGTTAAAGATGTCATTCTCTCACATCAGCGGAGAAAAAACATGTGTGTCGGTGTGAGTTTGTGTGGTCAGCAACTCTTCCTGTTATATTTTGAAGGATTACTGCATTTCTTGCTGCTTTATTGTCCCCTCTAGTTTACCTGTGCTTCATTATTACCGCACATCCATCTCTGAGCCTTCCCTCCACATTTTCCTCCACACCTTTGATTCTCCATTTGGTAATTATTTTTCCTACTTTGGCTTTGCCGGCTTTTTCCTGCCTTTTTTCTTTCACTGAAGAACCTTTCGTTAATCTCCAGCACTTGCCTGCCTGAAAAACCACCACCAGTGATATTGGTACAAAAATAAATGAAAGGTAATAATTAAGCTGTTTGTCAGCAAAAGTGTGAAAAATTTATTATTCATTAACCAAGAAAAACACCTCCACCCCCCACCCCCAGATGTTTCTGAGCCCGTTTGAGTATTTTGGAAAATGTTTTAATCTGCAGTGAAACTTATCAGGGTGAAATTAGAGTTAAAACTTAACCTTACTTATTATTGGAGTTTCACTCAGAGCCCTACTGAAACCTTTTTGCAGCATGCTCTGGCTAAGACATGCAGACTTGAATAATTGACTATATATATAACTAATAATAGAGTAATAACACGTTGATAGGCAATAATAGTGTTTGTTATATGGTGTCATTAAGTCCATACAAATAAGTCAAATCTGAAACAATATCTTCTCAATAGCAACTGAGCATTTTAAACTAGCACATTAAATTAAAAGCTAGAAGAGACGGTGCCTGCTTTCTGCAGCCGCGATTTGAACGTGCAGAG